GGGAAGAAGGGAGAGGGGGATGAGGAGAAGGAGGAGGAGGAGAATGAGGAGGAGGTGCAGAAGGAGGAACAGGCGATGGGAGCGAAGGAGACGGACTTCACCGTCTGGCTAGCGCATACTCTGTGCCCTTGCGGCCCACGGTCTTTTTCCATCTCTTCACGCATCTCTTTCTTGCAGCTGCGCCAGCCAGGCGTTATTTTCTATTCCTTGAGGCCTCGCACTGTGTTTTTCACGACGCAACAAGGTCGCGCTTCGTTTATGGCCAACGTAAGCGGGTGCAGGAGGATGCCTCACCGTCCTCGCGTTACCATGAGGTCGGGCATGCCCTCCTGCAGGCGGATGTTGGAAGGAAGATAAAAAATAGCCGAACAGTTAATCAATACTAGCCAGAAGAGCACGAAGCATCGTCACCATAATCTGCTTTACTATTCTGGAATATTCCTCCTGTGGAGGGACATGCCCAACTGAATGCTACCACCTTGAGGAAGGAACGAGGGGCTCTTCTGGCAACGGCGAGCCTCGGTCCGAAGTAGCTTCCCCGCCCTGGATAAGGGGAGCGGCGCGAAAGCTGGGGGGGCGTCCTGGGCCCAAGGCGGTCCTTACGTCAGCGTCCGAACTGCAGCATGGAGGGGACCCAGGATAGAACTTGTCTCTAGACAGCTTGTCTGTAACGCCCGCTGAGGGATGCAGGGCCCCCGAAATCGGTGGCCCATCCTGGCCCACCATCGTGGCCCACCATCGTGAACTGTGTACAGCGGTTGCTGGTCTTCTGACGAAACAGGTGTCATTCCGACCCCCACGCTCGTCCTCGATTTCGACCTCTGGGGCCCGCTGTTTGGCCCTGGAGGCCATCGCAGACGGATCCGGGGCGAGAAGCTGCCCCCGGGCATCCCTGCATGGGCCGCGCACTGAAGAGAAAACACGTCGTCGCACGTCTAGGCTTAGGTCGGGCATGTCCTCCTATATGCCGATTTTGACGAAAAATATTGAGGGGGAAAAAAACGTTCTCAAAAATAGCCAAAGAAAATATAAAAATCGCTCGCAGACTATTTTGCACTATTTTTGAATATTCCTACTGTAGAGGGACATGCCGGATTTAAGTCTAGGGTGGAAATTCCTGCAGGCAGGAGCCCTTCGCCGTTCTCGGCCCACCATCGGGGGCGCCGCAAAAGGGGGTTGGCGCGCGGGGGGAGGCCTTCCGGGAGGGCGGAGGGGCTTCTTCACAAGCATCAGGTCGGGCATGTCCTCCTACAGGGGGATTCTGGACGACCAATAAAACATTGTCAAATCGTAATTCAGCATGGTCAAAAATATCAGAAAAATAGTCCTCCTAGAGGGCACCTCGGGTAGGCTTCTGAGAACACTGCTTAGACGCCAGACAGACCTCTGAGAACCCCCACGCCTTTCAGCTCAGACGACCCGCCGCCGCATGAGATGCCACTTCCCCTGGCCTCTCGCGCCATCCCCTTAATCAGAGGCGTCGGGGGGCCGCCAGGAAAGAAACAAGAACAACGGCTCGGGGAGACGAGCCCGTCAACAGGAGCGGGGGGGCCCGGCGGTTCTGGGACCGCAGACCCCGCCCGGGAGAGGGGTCGGGACCTCTGGGGCCACGCACTGACATAGCCTACAAAAAACACTAAAAAAAACGCTGGACGACAGGTGCAGTCGAAGTCTACAGGAAGGACGGACGGTAAGGACGTAATTGCCTTGGACGCCGAAGTTGGCACTTTTGGCTGGCCAGTGAAAACCGCGAAGGACGGCCACAAAGGCAAGGACGCAAGGGTACCCTAAGGACAAGCGTGCGTCCTTACTACGAGTTCTGACTGTAATGCACACACGCACACAGACAGACGCATACAGGAAAAACAAAACGACAATGCTATCTTGCAGTCGCGACGGAAGCCCTTTGTTTGGCACAGAGGGGAGGACACTAAGGCGAAGAGGAGGAGGAGGAGGAGGAGCAGGAGGAGGAGGAGGAGGAGGGGTGGCGCGCACACCAGCGCGACGCATACAACCACACGTCATACGCCAAAGGCGCGTGGATGCGAGGGAACGCGCACGGGAAACATACGCAGGAGGCCCAACAGCGAACGTCGCTGTCCAAACCCAACAAGGTCCGCGACAACGAGTCCTGCTCAATCTGGGCGGCAACTGCTGCGGGTCTTCGTCCGAAATCAATCCGTACGCATTCTCCGACATCCGAAGATATGAATTATGCCAACCTACAGGAAGGAGGAATGTGGAAGGGCAAGGCCATGAAGGCGCTATAAGCATAGGTGCGAGTTGTCCGACCCCGAGGAGGGCACCCGTGCGAGCGGGGATACCTACTCGACATCACAAGCCCATCGCCTCCCCGGGATTTCCACCCCAAGAAATCTGGGGGTCGCATAAGTAGTAGGGGAGTCCTGTTCGAAATGGACAAAAGCTGCTGTCAGCCTTCGTACCCAATCTTCCCGTACCCACTTCAATCGTACCGACAGACATGTCGTGGTAGTAAAGCTTTGGGCTGCGCACAGACATCCCCCCCAAGGAGTCTCGGCTGGCCTCAACGCGCGCCCCCCGAGTAGTCCCAGATCAATAGGTCCCCCAGACTACCAGAGCTGGGACTACTCGGGGGGGCGCGTTGAGGTAAGCTGGGGCTGTTGGAGGTCCGCGCGGATTTCTTAGAATCGGCGCTGGACCCCCTCCCTGGCGCGCGGAGCGCGCCAGGAGCGGCGCCGGAGGCGCCGCTGGGGGGCCCCAGCGCCGATCTTTGTTCCCCTGCTGTCAGCTCATGAGCTCTTTCACTGCACGGCTTCTGGCCCCTTCCCCTGGGGCCAGCTTCTCGTCGTGGACTCGGTCTTAACGGATCTGGTCCCCCCAAGAACGGCCCCCCGCGGGCGGCCAAGATCGAGGAAAAGCACGCCAGGAGTACAGGGGCACATCGTCGGAGATCTGGGTCTCAATCGCGCCGAGCCCACAAGCGCGAGTGGGAACGGTAGGGGTGCCGGCTCAAGGGGGAAACATGTTGGAGTCGGCCCTACATCGCCGATAGATCGGCGACAGACCCTCAAGAGCCAGACCGCGCGCTCTCCTGGGCTGGAAGGTGAACCCAGGCCCCGATTGGCGAAGAATGGAGAATTGGGGGTCGATGCTTCCCCCCGGCCCGAAGCCACTCAAGACCAATCTTGGCGGCTCGCACGAGTGGGTAGGGGGAGGGCGGGAGGCTTCTAGGAAGGAGGCTGCTCCTCAGTAGGCACCGGCCCTGCACCTACAGACAAGGCCCACGCCTTCCAAGAAGCATGGTGTGCTTCTAAGAAGCCTTCCCCCCTCCCCCTACCCCCCTCTGCGCATGGCCGACAATCCTCGGACCCCTCCCAGGGTCCAGCTTGACAAGTCTTTCGACGCGGATCCCGTAGTGGGCGGCGGGAAGCCTCAAGGAGTCCCACGAAAAAGAAAGTAGAACAACGCCCAGGGAGGGCCGCAGTTGTCTCGACTGGCCCTCCTCCGAAAAGCGCCAGTCCTGCGCCGAAAGCAAAGGAAGAATGAAGGGGCCATGGGACACACAAATAAATACACACAAATAACCGGATTCCCCATATTTTCCTATATTTTCTGGGTTTTTGTCGTCCCCCCACTTCCCATGTTTATCCATATTTTCTGAGGAATCGACCATCAATTGTGTCTGTATGTGATTTTTCCCTCCTGACAGAAAAACTACACAAACATAAACTTTCGGAGATCCGCACGGATTTATTGGATCTGCCCCCCTCCGTGGCGCAGCGCCGGAGGTGCCACCAGGGGCTCCCAGCGAAGATCCAAGAAATCTGCACGGAGCTTCGAAAATCCTGGTCTGCGCCGATGCTTCCTCCTCGGCGAAGAGGTCGAAGAGAGCCCCACTAGTGGTGCGGCGGCGGGGGTCCCTCCCCTCTCGCAAGGACGACGACGCCGACGCCGACGCCGACGCCGATGCCGACGCCGGGGACGCCGGGGACGACGGGGACGACGACGACGACGACGACGTCGACAAACAAACGACAACGACAAACGACGAGACGACGACGACGACGACGACGACGACGACGAAGCCGTGACACCGCCTACGGCGCTGGCGCTGACGAAGTCGACGACGCCGACGCCGACGCCGACGCCGCCGCCGCCGATGGCGACGCCGACGCCGACGCCGATGCCGACGCTGACGCCGATGCCGACGCTGACGCCGCCGACACCGACGACGACAATAACGACGACGCCGGCCGCCAGCCGCCGATTTCGACTGGAGCGATGGGGGCAACGCCAGTGGGGGGACGGTGGGAGGTGCAATACTTTGCTCGCGCGAACTACGAGTGGGAGGCACGAACTGTTATTGCAAGGGGCGTGAATAGGTGCTTTCGACTGGATGCACACATGCATCCGCGTGCCACTATCGCGTCCAGACCGCAAAGTGCTGCGTCCATGGAACAACTACTGCAACTTGGGCCTCGATCTCTGGGGGAGCGATACATGGGGGGAAGAAAGGTGCACTTTTCGGGCCCTAAGATACCCCTTATGGGACCTAAAGGGCCCCTTGGGGGGGCCCTCGGGGCCCCCCTTTCCTGCAACCCTCGCTGCCCCCCCTAACTTACAACCCCCTGACGCGACGCCCAAGCAACTACTAGTGCACCTGCTCCGGCCCCCCCCCCACCTGTGCTACCCGTGCACCTACTCTTAGGTCGGGCATGCCCCCCTACAGGGGGATTTTGGGCGAAACACGAAAGATACTCAAACAATACTCCAAAGATGATCAGACGTAGTCCGAAAATGGCCCCGGGACTATTATTTTGACTGCCTTCGAAGATCCCCCCTGCAGAGGGGCAGGCCCGTCTCAAACCTACTCGGGCTTGGAGCCGGGGGCCCCGCCAGCGATGCGGCGGCGGCGGCCCCTCGCGAGGGGGGCCCACGGCGCCCGGGCCGCCGGGCGCCCGGGCCGCGGCGGCGCCCAAGGCGGCGCCCTGGGCGGCCGGGGCCGCGGCGGGGGCGCACGGGGGGCTGCCCGGGCGCGCGGGGGCGCCGCCTGGGGCGCCGCCCAGGGGGCTGCCGGGGCGCGCGGGGGCGCCGCCTGGGGGGAGGGTGGCGCGATCTCGGCCACGGGGGGGCTTCTTCTCAGCCCTGGGGCCGTCAACCGACCCCCCAGGGAAGCGGTCGGGACCTGACTGGGGCGGGGGCGCCGGTCTGAGTGGGGGGGTTCTCCTTGTTGCGCTTCCTGCGCTCCCTGCGCCTCCTTCTCGATTGCCATCCATGCGTGTAAGCGTGACGCAATGTCAAAGGTATGGCCATCAAAGTTGCGGAAATCTGAAGCGAGAGCCCCATGTTGAAAGGAGCTGCCCTCCACGTGGCTGATTGCACAAGCTGGAACCTCAAGTCATACAGTGTAACGAAATATCAAGCGTGCGCCGCATTTCGAAAACAAGCCAGTCTCCGTCCTCGTAATTACTGCAAGTTCGTTGGGGGGTGAGATCGCAATGGAACGGAGACCCCCAACCGGGAAATCGTTTCGCTTCGTTCGTGTCGTGCGTTGCGTGGGCACGCGAGAGGAATGAACCCGCCGTTGCTAGGGCGAAATCAAAACAAATGATTATCCCCCGTCCGTCCGTCCGTCTGGCGGTGGCCCTAGCGGTGTCCCGTGGTTGGTGTCCCCTGGTGTCCGCCGTTGCTAGGGCGAAGTCAAGATAAATGATTCTCTCCCGCCCGCCCGTACGTCCGTCCGTCCGTCCGGCGGTGGCTCGCGGTGGCTCGCGGTGGCTCGCGGAGTCCCGCGGTGTCCCGTGGTGTCCCGTGGTGTCCCATGGTGTCCCGTGGTGTCCCGTTGAGTGAGATCGATAATGAGATCGATAGTGAGATCGATGCTGAGATCGATACTGAGATCGATGTGGTGCCCCGAGGTGTCCCGTGGTGTCCCAGAAAGTGAGATCGATAGTGAGAGATCGATAAAAAGAGATCGACAGGTGTCCCGTGGTGCCCCGTGGTGTCCCGTCGAGTGAGATCGATAGTGAGATCGATATCGAGATCGATGTGGTGCCCCGAGGTGTCCCGTGGTGTCCCAAACAGTAAGATCGATCATGAGATCGATAATGAGATCGACAGGTGTCCCGTGGTGTCCCGTTGAGTGAGATCGATAGTGAGATCGATAGTGAGATCGATGTGGTGTCCCGAAGTGTCCCGTGGTGTCCCGTTGAGTGAGATCGATAGTGAGACCGACAATGAGATCGAGAGGTGTCCCGCGGTGTCCTTTCATGTCCGGTGGCGTCCCGTGGTGTCCCGTTGAGTGAGATCGATAGTGAGATCGATTGAGTCAGACGTTGGTTCCCCCCCTCTCCCCCCCCACAACCTCCGTATCACCCGAAGGGTGGTCGTTTTGGTAAATGTTGGAAAACCTCGTTGCCATGGTGTGCGTGTCACAATGGAGAAAACCACATTTTGAAAACGACCGGCCTGCCACATTTGTAATTGGATTTTTTCAGCCTCGGGGCACGGCAACTGTCAATTCTCACGCGAAACAGCTGGCCCCGCCTTCGGACACGTCTGGTGGTGCGAGAGGGGGAGTTAATTTGAAGAGGGCAGTTAAGAGGGTCCGAGGTGGGACCTCCCTTCTCCTCCTCCTTCTCCTCGTCCTTCTCCTCCTCCCACGGCAACGGGTCTGACGCCAAGGGCGAAGACAACGACAGCACGACGACGAAGACGCGGACGACGGCGCCGACGACGACGACGACGACGACGCCGACGCCGCCGACAAACGACGACGACGACGACAAACAACGACGACGAAGACGACGACGACGACGCTCCCGCCGACGACGACGACGACGACGACGACGACGACGACGACGACGACGACGACGACGACGACGACGGAGACGACGACGGCGGCGACGGCGGCGGCGGCAGCGGCGACGAGGACGCCGACGACGACCCAGGGCGGGGCGGAACCTCCCAGACCGTCGGCCTGGACCGGCTCAAGGGCGTCTGCATCTATCCAGCCCCTGGGGGCCAGCGGCACGCGGCGTCCTCTGGGTGGGCCTCCCGTTGCCGCTTCTGTTTCGTCGTCGTCGCCGCCATCGCGCCCCTCCTCTGTCCTTCCCTTCTTTCCCTCCTGCCTCCTCCTCCTCCCTCCTCGTCCTCTTCCTCCTCCTCCCCCTCCTCCTCTTCCTCCGCCTCCTCTTCCACCTCCTTCTTCTCCTCCGCCTCTTCCTCCTGGATCCTCCTCCTCCTTGCCCTCTCCTCCCCCTCCCCCTCCTCCTCCTCTCCTCCTCCTCCTCCTCCTCCTCCTCCTCCTCCTCCTCCTCCTCCTCCTCCTCCTCCTCTCCATGTTCCTCATCCCCCTCCCCCCCGAAAGATCATCGTCGTTGCCCCATCAGCACCTCGCCCCCCCAAACAACAAAAGTTGAGGGCGGAACCGCGGAGTCATTTGTTTCTTGGGGAAGTAGAAAGAAAAACTTCTCCTGTTCCGTTCTGAAGAGAATTACAAGTGGACTCCTGTTGTAGAGGATGAAAAGAGGATTTCTTTGATGGGGTCCTTCAAAAGGATTGCTTCTATGGAACATTACAATCGGACTCCTCTTGAGCAGGATTGCGCTCGGATTCCTTTTTTATGGGAGCATTCAGTAGGATTGAGTATGTGGAGGGTTACAATAAAATTCCTTGCGTGGCAGACGGGGGCCCTCGATCATATTCTTTTCGCGGACCATTGCAATAACTTGTGCCGGGTTACAACAAGATCCCTGTTTTTAATGGGAGCCTTCAAACGGATTCCGCTTGTGGATGGTTGCAATCGGTTTCTTTGCGTGGAGGATGGGGGCCTTCAACTTGGCAGGGGATTGCGATATCATGCCTTGTGTGACGAATTTCATGTTAAAAATATGATGTGGAAGCTTACAGTAGGATTCCATGTCGCTGGTGATTTAAATTCGCCGGCCCATCGGGCCAGAGGCGTGCTAAGATCTCCGGTAACTTGTTAACAGTATTTCTAGTTCGCGCGCGCGGAGCGGCCCCTGGGGGCCCCCGGACGAAAAGTACCCCGGCAAGGTCCCGAGAGAAGCCCGGGAGAAGCCACCAGACCACTCCAGGGGAGGGTATTTTTCGACACCCCTCACGAGGATCGTGGCCTCCGAGGGGGGAGCCGCAATCGACTACCCCCAAGAGCCCCCCAAGAGGCCCTGGGGGCCTCCAAAACGCCGCCAAGGAGCCCCAACAGACTCCCAAGAGGTCCCCAAGAGGCCCCCAAGAGGCCCTAAAGAGGGCTCCGGGGCCGGCGGCATGAGCGAAGCGATAAAATAAGATTCCGTTCGTGGGGGGTTACAGAAGGATCCCTGTTTGCAGGAGCCTGCAGTCGGATTCCCTGAATGGAAGATTTCAATAGGATCCCTCTTGTGGCGGATTTCAACCTGGCTTGATTTAGGGCGGGGTTTTCGGACTCAACCGACTCAACCTGTTTTTGTATCATCGTCATCATCGTCGTCATCATCGTCGTCATAATATCCATCATCGTCCGCGTCGTCGCCATCATCATCACCATCTCCTCATCATCGCCATCATCATAATATCCATCATCATATCCTCGTCATCATCATGTAGCGGTGATGATGATGATGATTAAACCAAGACCCGCATGACGATGATGGCGGCGTGAACATGTTGATGATGATGATGATGACGATGATGATGAAGTCGATGATTGCGATGATGATGGCGATGAATATGATGATGCTGATGATGAGGATGACGATAACCTTCTCTCGGACTGCGCGGGCCGTGCTGAGTACTGTGGCAGTCGAATCGGATTTGGATACTGTTGCAGCCTAGTCGGAATCGGACAGCACCACAGCCTCCGCGGAAGCGGGCCACCGCATTTCGTCAAGCACATCCGTGAGGTCGGGCAGCGCCACGGGGACCCGTGCCAGGTGATCGGCCACGACGTGGTTCACGACGTTGAAGAACTCCTTCGGGCCAGGCGTGGCGTCGATCCTGCGCGCCCTGAACTCCGGAAAGACGTCGGAGCGGATCATGACGGCGATCTGCAGCCTGCTGTCGTCTACGCGCTGTTGCAGCTCGTGGCGGGTCGCGAAACAGTCCTGGCAGTCCGCGGGGGCGTGGCGGTGCACGTCGTGCTCGAGGGGGGACAGGGTGCCCATGTAGAGGGGCCCAGGCTTTTGCTCGAGGGTGACGACCCTTCCGCAGGAGGCTGTGCTCGAGGGTGACGCCCCATCATGTGCTCCCAGGACCCTGGGACCCTCACTTGCACGGAGCGCGCCCCGAAAATCGTCACGGCCGCGTGCAACAGGGAGCATCCGCCATCTGTGTGCCAACCATCGTCCCGTGCGCCTGGTTGTATGAGCTGGATCGATGCGTACGCGAACGCGTGGTCGGCGAAGTGCTCTGTCATGATGGGCTTTCCGTTCTGCTCGACGATGGCAGGTGGCATGCCGTCGGCTTTGACAGCCTCGCGCATTTTGTCTCCCAGCTGTTGCAGCCACGGGCGCATCTTCTTCCGCAGCGCTCGCACGAAGGCGGCCATGCGGGGCGAGGGGGTGATCTGCAAATTCCCGCCCTTGTTGAGGCTGCGGCACTTCGGGGGGCTTTCGTCGTCCACGATGCCTGGGACCTCTGTTTTCAAGCCCTTTGCCGCCTCGTCGCCTCGGACGCATTTGGCGACGGTTGCTCCCGTGTCCAGGCGCTCCTCGGCCAAGTTCTGCCAGCACGGGTCTCTCTGCAAGAAGCGGGGCAAGTCTGGGTACAGCTCCGCCTCCGCTATCGTGCCCGCGCGTCTTTTCCCCTGCGCCATGCAGACGCGCACGTCGAGCTGGGCGCCAGCCGGCTGCAGGAAGCGACGAGCTCTTAGACGACTGATTGTCGCTCTGGCGCCAGGGTGCCAAAGCAGGCAGCTCTCGGCGGCCTTCAACATGTCTGGGGGGCAGTCTGCAAGTTCGTCAACGGGCCAGCGCCCTCGGCCGTCGAGTGCCTTCGCTGTTTCAGCCTTTAGCCAATCCTCGCCCGACCGCTTGAACCACTTCTCAAAGAAAGGCAGGTTGTCCAGCCACGGAGCGGGTTCCTGGTCCTCGTAATTGTAGGAGTCTCCCGACCCGGGCTCCTTGCCTGGGATCCCCAAGATCTCCCTGCAGAAAACCACGAAGTCTTTCGGGCGCCCCCCTGGATGCCCGAGCGCGCCGCAAGGGTGTGATGGGGCAGGTCGGAGAACACGGTGACCAGTGATAGCTTCATATCCTGCGGGTAAACAGACATTCGCATCGACACCCAAAACAATATCAAAAGGACCTCCGGGAAGAGTGCGCCGCACGTTGTGCACGTACTCCAGGGACTCATGAATTACTTGCTCCCCCCTCCCATCTGCCACAAGATGGTCTAAGATATGTGCCGAAATCAAAATTACATTGCCCACCACCCACGCTGCGGATCAAGAAGCCGCAGTCCGAGCCCTCCCTGCACATGACGACGTGGCTGTGGTAGACAAAACCTGCACTAGCACCCCAAGCAGGAACCTCTTGAAGGAGAATTGCGGTGCCCCCATAAAGCCCTCGAATACCTCTTGAAATCTTTGAAATCGTCGAGCGGCTTTCTTGCAAGTGTTCCAACTAAATATTTGCATTGATGCTCCTCCTCCTCCTCCTCCTCCTCGTCGATGCTCCTGCCTCGTCGTGGTAGTCGTCGCCGCCGCCGCCGTACCCCCCTCCCTCCTGGCCCTCCGCACCTTCGTGATGGCGACAGGGTTCTGCTTGCCCGTAGCTTTGAAGCTAGCGCCAGCTGAGGGAGAAATTGCAAGATCGGGGCGAGGCCGAAAGGGTGACCCCGTCATCTTCAGGCACATCGGTCATGATCAAGGTCATGGTCATGATCGT